AAACCAACCCACAACATTAAACAGACTGCTTTAAATTACGCGAATTCATGTCTCTGCCGTAGTTTCAAATGATGTTTGCATAGCGTTCTTTTAAAATGTGAACACATTTTGTCCTATGTGACGACCGTATTTGTTACGTCCCCAGAGAACTGGGTTCGTATTATAGTGATTTTCTTTTCTGGCATTGCTTGTGGTTCTTGTGTTTTTTTCTTCTTACAGGTAAGATAGCTTCAATAACCATTCCAGCAGCTGATTGGTGGATCAACGGCTGATTTGATCTTGGAACTCCTCCTACTCGTCAGTGGCTGCAGCTGGCTGGGCTCTTTAAAAAGCCTAGTTTTGGATCTGTTCACTCTCTGCTCTGGGCTCTGCTCTGGGCTTTGCACTCTGCTCTGGGCTCTGCTTTGGGCTCTGCTCTGGGCTTTGCACTCTGCTCTGGGCTTTGCACTCGGTTCCTGCTGTTGATGTGATTGGTATCCCTTTTTGGAAAACATTGTGAGTTGTAGATAACTTTTTTTTGTTGTCTATTTTGAGAGTAGGATTGGAACATTTGATAATACTTTTGATATTGTTGTAATCTGATTTGTTAGCTAGTAACACTAGCTTTGTGTTCCACTTTTGGAACTTAAGCAGCAGGACTGAGTTTGTTCTTTGTGAATTATTATTATTATCATTATTATTTGTGTTAACTTCTCTTTTCTTGTTTTATAGGGAGTTGGGGGAGTAGATTTAGAGCTACCCCGGGGTATACATCACCCGTAGGCATACTTCTCTGTCTATAAACACCAGTTAGACCTGGGCGGACCACCATCTGTAATTTTGGTTAGGGCGCCTTGATCGTGTGCCAGATAGGTGATGTATATAATTAGTGTAGGTTAGGGGTGGGGTATTTTTGTTTATTTCTTTTCTTTGGTTCGTCCAGCTCTCCCCTTTCTCCCTTAAATTTGTTTATCATTTACATTATTACCGTGACAAAAATAAAAACACAGTTTGTACGGTATTTGGAATTTGTCTCCTTTTCTCACACCACGACTCCATTCCTCTTTTGCTGGCATTTGTGGGTCTGAGCAGGGGGTTATCAGGTTCCCCTCCCTTTTTGGGGGCTGGAACGTAACAAATGGGGGCTCGTCCGGGATCTTGGTGCCCCCATGCTCGGACCACTTGATGCTTGGTGATTGAGATGTGGTGTTGAGGTGTGAAAAAGGCTTCGTAGTTTTGTTTGGCATAATAGTGGATGTTTTCTGTCCTAGAGTTGGTTGGTATTTATAGTTGTCTGAATAGTTTTAGAGTGTACTGAATAGTGCATTGGAGTTGGGGTGAGTATGGCGGCTACTTCAGAGGTGGCAGGCTTTATTGCAGAGCCCTCATTGGGGTCATTGTGTAATCTGCGTAAGGTAGATCTATTTTCATTAGCAGACTACTATAATCTAACCGTTGATAGGCAGGCTCGTAAAGCGAATCTAGTAGCAGTGATTAAAGGCCATTTATTGAGTCTGTCAAGGGCAGGAGTTATGGCTGTTGAGGATGTGGAGATAGAAGATGAAGGGGAGGACGAGGAGGACATAGGGAATCTCTCGCCTGCACGGCCGAAGGGTGGTGTGGGGGGTGGGGATGCTCCGGTACCTCGAACTCTGCCAAAGTATGATCCATTTTCTCCAGTGGTTCCTGAGTCTGTAGAGGTCGCTCGGCTAAAGCTGAAAGCAGCCCGTCAAGAAGCAGACCAAAAAGACAGGGAAGACAAAAGGAGGTATGAGATAGAAATGAGAAAAATAGAGGCAGACAAGGAAGCTCGAATTCACATTCGGCGAATGGAACTTGAGGCTGGGGTGTCTCCTCACTCAGTTGGCAAGCCAGGTCATTTTGATGTAGGCAGGAACATTGCAGTTGTTCCCCCATTCCGTGAGTCTGAGGTAGACTCATATTTTTCTGCTTTTGAACGAGTAGCTGCTGCCTTACAGTGGCCAAAAGAGGTCTGGCCTCTACTTCTTCAATGTAAGCTAACTGGGAAGGCCCAGGAGGTTGTAGCCTCTCTCTCCATAGAGGATAGTTTGCATTATGATGTGGTCAAAGCTACTGTACTGCGTGCCTATGAGCTGGTGCCAGAGGCTTATAGGCAACGATTTAGAAACTATAAGAAAAGTGGTAGTAAAACATTTGTTGAGTTTGCCAGGGACAAAGAGTCCTTGTTTGACCGCTGGTGTGCAGCCAATAAAACATCTACTTATGAGGCTTTGAGAAATCAGATCTTGTTGGAAGATTTTAAGAACAACCTACCTGAAAGAATAGTGATGCATTTGAGTGAAAACAAAGTGGTGAAGTTGAGTCAGGCAGCGGTAATGGCCGATGAATATGCCTTAACACATAAAACGGTGTTCACAGCATCCAGTCAGAGTAGGACGTTCGTTTCATCAGCAGTCGGTGCATCACGCTCTTTAGATCCTTCTACTGTTCCTAGGAAAGAAGAGAGGGAATGTTTTTATTGCCACCGGAAAGGCCATTTAATCTCAGATTGTTCCTTACTGAAGAACAAGTCTAAGTCACCTCCATCTTCCCGTAAGAGTGTTGGTTTAACTCAGACTGTTTCTTTTCAGGAAGCTAGATGTGCTGGCGAGGTGCTCTCAAAGAAACCAGACCTGTTGTATGCTCCATTTGTGTCTGTAGGGGGTGTTTCATGTACCGGGAAAACTGAAGACCAGAGGGAAATTAAAATCTTGCGTGACACTGGTGCGGCTCAGTCAGTTATACTTACAGATGTGTTGCCATGGTCTGATCAAACATACTGTGGATCACACATATTTTTGTGTGGTATTGAAGCTAACCCAATTTCTGTGCCTTTACACTGGGTTCACTTGCGTTCTGATTTGGTTTCAGGTCGGTTCCGTGTTGCGGTGGTGCCTACATTGGCAGTGGAAGGGGTAGCATTATTATTAGGAAACGACATTGCTGGAGGTAAGGTGTCCCCAGCACTAGAAGTTACAGACAGACCTCAGTCTAATGTCTCTGACAATGTCCTATTTCAGAAGTACCCTCAAGTGTTCCCTGCATGTGTTTTAACACGGGCACAGGCTCGTATGCAGGGGGATACAGTGAATCTATCTGACTCTATTTTTGAACAGGTTGAACCTGTAGTTGTAGAACCTAAACCAGAGGCGTTACTTTCTGTGCAGGCTGAGAAAAGGGGGTGCAGAGTCGCTCCCCAGTTAGATGTGTTTGTGTTTATATTGTGTTTATATTTGTCAACACATTAACACACTTTGTTTTTCCTCATTTTATACTATATGGTATATTGTGATATTTTTACTTCACACACCTGAATTATCAATAATTATCATGACAATCATCCAACAGTACTTTTTAACTTAATTGTATTAAAGTACTTCAGTATTAAGTAAAATTTAAAAAGGAGTACTTCATACTTTTCCTGGAGAAACATTTTAATATGGTGTATTTGTCCACATTTGGTACTGTCTGATGAGTCAAGCACAGCTGTGACAGCAGATTGGACCGTATCGCACATTTATATGCCCTTAAATCCAGTTTGTGGAGAATGCAATGACACATCTGTAATGATCAGCAGAAGTGTGAAATGATCATCAAACATCCTCCCTTGAGAGACAAACACTGCTACTATGACAACAGACACAACGAACTCTGTCTAAACACACGACTTTTAACTGTTCCTTTAATTGTTAAAGGAACAGTTCACACATAAAATGTTTTAAAGCTAGCGCTCATGTTGTTAGTCCAAAATCAGCTTTTACTGTTACCAAGCCCAGCAAATGACTCATTGTGGAATGTGCTTATCTTATTTCATTCTGCGGAAGAAAACCAACGCTAACTTCATCGTTGCAAATTTGGCTCCGCCCACTGGTCTGTTGTAGCGAAGTTATTTTCAACAATGTGAATGTCTTATTTGAGCATTATGTATTTGTATTCGGTACATTTCACTGTGGATTCTTTGGTAAATCAGTCGCAATTTCGGCGCAGGCTCTGCCGACTTAAACAGATTTTTACAATATGGACTTCACAGTAATGCCACAACATGTAAGTAACTGTGTTATTTCTAATCCCTGATTTGTAATCAGTCATTTATGAATTTTAATAATTCATGTATGGTCAGATGTGACTAAATGTTCATCTTCACACATTGTTTCTCTTAGTAGGATGGAAATAATCTGTTATTTAAACTGGGATTAAATTATATACAACAAGACATAACTTCCCGTAATAATGAATTAATCTCTTGCGAGAGTGCAGAAATCGAGTTGCAACGAAGAGATCACTGTAGTCTGTGATCGGCTACGTTCATCATCGCATTCATTGCAACATGTAATGCCATCATCTAAATATAATGCACATTTCACGATTAGTTAACCTTGAGATCTGTAATCGTCAAAACGTGCTAAAAGTTTTCGAGAGAGTTCCATGTAGTATTTATTGCTACACATGCAAAGCTGTCAGCCAATCACAACACTGGACGTTTACACTGAAGTCTCACAGACACGCCCCTTCAAACAGAGGCTCAAATCAAAGAATAGGAAAAATGCCTTTCATTTGTATAAAGTATGACAATTTTTTTTATGTAAAACATTATAAGTGCAGCACAGGAAACGTTATAAAACAATAAAAACAATGCCGTTCACGACCCCTTTAAAATCACAGAGGCTGGAAACCTCCATGAAATCATAACAGTGATCGAATGACTTGTGCTCTATACAATTTTTGCGTGAGGAAAAAGACCCAAATCTAAGTTGTTATACATACATTTCTTTAGTGTTTCTCATATGGGTTTTTGAACAACATGAGGTTGAGTAAATTATTTTTTGTGTGAACTATTACGTTTCCTGCTCATGAAAAATACAAAATTGCTAATCTTAGCAAATCAACTCTTCTGGCATCTCGTAACATCACACAACAAATAGTAAAAAATCAAAACACAGCTTTTATTGAACACTTATAATGCACATCCAAAAATGCAATGTACAAAAATCGTAACTTGCCAGAAAGTTGCAGGATGGTTTTCGTCATCTTGAATTAGTCTTTCAGTAACGACCTTCGTCTTTTTGAATTCCTAACTTTGTGCTGTGGCTTACTTTTTTCTTTCTTTCTTTTCTGTACGTCCATGAACAAGCCAAATGCCTGCAGCACACACCGTCATCTCTCTGGCTTCTCTTTAGCGGACCTCATGCTTCTGTCCCTCTCTGAACGAGTAGATCTCTGTGAGATTGTGCTGACTATGAGAGACACACCTCTTGAGTTCCTTAGTGAGGTCACGCTCGACCACGGCAATCACTCACTACACAACGAACAATGAAGAATTTACAGAATGAACTTGCTGAGACAACAAACTGCACCACATTTGTACTGTATTATGTCTTCTAATTCAAAGTAATTCTCATTCCATTATTGTTACATTCTATTCCATTTCATGAACACGTTTTCTGTTTTCATGTATTTATCCCCCCCACCACCACCCGTTACATTAATATCTATAGTGTGCATAGGATACTGAAAATCCTAAACTTTCTGTGCAACTCCACTTGCATCGACACTAGAATAAAAGATTGATGTTTGATATAGAAGTCAGAAACTGCTCCATCTCCTGGCTAATGTTGTTTCTGCTGAGGTCCAGTTCAACAGATACGGACTGGCAACTGAGAACTGATGCCAGGTATTGACAGCTGCTGTCACCGAGAGCACAGCTGGATAACCTAAACACAAAAACATATGGAAACACAGTCATGACGTCATTCTAAAATCAGTATTTTATCTATTTAAATTGGTTTATGTTTTAATGTTATATTACTGTTAAGAAATGAGCATATTTTGTAAATGGTTATTTGATCTTACTTTAAAACCTTCAATGCACAACTGCCTTCCTGCAGTCCGAGACAGAGCAACCGAACGCCTTCATCTTCAAGACTGTTGTTGCTCAAGTCCAACTCTTTCAGGGTGAAGTTTTGGCTTAGACCTTTAGCCACTAGCCCACACATATCTGGAGTGAGTTTACAAGAATCCAGGCTACAGCGATAAAGAAACAGAACAATTTTAATCTTAAAAAAAAGTTATTTTCTTTTGATAATTGATATCCTTGATGCAAACGTATCTCCAAATAATTTACTCAATTATATATCTTAATGGGCAGGTTGTTCCATAATCTTGAGATCAGCCTTCGAGACGCACACTGGGAATTGTTAAAAGGACCTTATTTGATGGATCTTAGCATTAAACTTGAATTATAAGGATTAATAATCTCAACCAGTGGTGGAGGAAGTGCTGAATCTCAGTACTTAAGTAAAAGTACAAATAACCAGATAAATATTTACTTCAGTAAAAGTAGAAGTAACACAATGGCAACCATACTTAAGTAAAAAAGTACCTGATTTTAAATGTACTTTAAGTATTAAAAGTAAAAGTACTTGCATAACAATTGATTCTCTTAATGACTATTTTCTAATGATTAATAAAACATTTAATTCAACCTAATAGTCCTATAATGATGTTCAACAATGATGGAAAAAAAGTGTTGTCACCATTTCTGAAACAAGCTTGCAATTAGGCAATATAAACCATGCTTATCCTTACTATATGGTAATAACTATGTTTGGCAGTAAACGCGATTAATTTATGGTGTAATTCTGAACCTCTTGGCTTGCCATAATCCTAACCAAACGTATATTACACACGGTGTGTTTCCTATGCACGTAAAAACACATTTTCGCGTATAAATTGCACGATAAACACACTGCGTGCGAAACGCATTTAGTTGATGTATCTATGGCAACCAAACATCACTGGTGAGACAAACGTGCAACGAACGGACGGTCAGATTACGTTTTGGCAGGGGAAAAACTGATCAGAAAATGTAACAGAAGTTGTAGAAATGTAGTGGAGTAGAAAGTATAATAATTGCTGCAAAATATAACCAAGTAAAAGTAAAAAGTTTGCACTATTTATTCTACTTAAGTAAAGATACGTAAAAAATACTTAAGTAAAGTAACAAAGTATTTGTACTTCGTTACATTCCACCACTGATCTCAAATAAATATTCTGGAGGCATTCCATTTAACAATGGCGCAACGCTGTTAGTCTACTTAGCATTCATTAGCACCAATGCCGTGACATTTGTACTAGTTGGATGTGCAACATTACCATGACAGGTCCCAATTACAATAATCTAAACGAGAAAGGATAAAACCACGAATGATTCTTTCCAAATCACTAGCTGAGAGAATCGAATTTATTTGGCTATTGCCCTTAGATGATAACAAAAAAAGCAGCTCCAAACCACAGTTTTTATCTGTCTATCGAACTTTAGAGGTATAAAACTTGACTCCCAAGTTCTTTACTTGACCCTGCAGGTAACTAACCCATGGGAAGTTATCATCTACAGTCTTGTTACAAACTATACGGCCAAAAATTATGTATGTGTTCCTTTCATTCAACTGGACAAGATTATCATCCATCCATGTTTTACTTCCTCCAGACACCTGAGGAGTATTGCACTCAAGTCCCTACTACTCGTACTCAAAGGCAAGTAAATTTGAGTGTTGTATAGGCAAGTAAAGGGACTGTAATATAGATGGCAGGTCCATGTTTTGTTTTTAAATCTGTTCTTTTGGCCAATACTGACCACATCTTTTCAAGAGCACAGTCCTTTTCTCCAAGGACTGTAAAAAGCTGCATTATTCCAGAGCCTCCAGGGAAATTTTTGCTCAAATTCAGCTCTTTCAGGCTGAAGGGGTTTGATCTCAGAGCTGAAGCCAGAGATGAGAAGCCCTTATCGGTCAGTCTGCAACACGCCAGCCTGGAGAATAGGATAAAACGTTTTCAAGCCATCTAGTTATAGAGTATAATCCTATTATAGTCAATAAATATCACATGTAAAGCCTAGCAGTTGATTAGTGAATTATAACAAGATAATTTATATATATTTTTTTCACGATTAATATCTTTTCGTAAAAAAAAAAGTCACATACGATAATAGAGCTGATCAAGTGCTGTGAAAAAAGAAGCATAACCTTAATTTCTGAAGTTTACAGGATGGATTCTTCAGTGAGTTTGCGAGTTTCTTCATCCCAGAATCCAGAACGTCATTGTCAGAAAGATCTAGAGCTGTGAGACGAGAGTGGTCCATACCGAGTCCACAACTTTTAAATGTAAAATTGCATCTCTCTAATCTGAAAAAAAGAGAAAAGAAAATGGCCCAAAAATACAGCAATTATGTAGCTAAGCATGGCCGCAGACATCTTCTAATTTGAACAAGATCTAAAATTTAGAATCCAAATTTAAAATGTACTGGTACCTTCAGGACATAATGTGTCACACATGAACTATATTTTAAAAATATGTGAGTAGCTCTTGACCAGTTGTGTCAAATTTGGGGAGGATTTGATGAATGCAATAGGACAATATAAAAAATATGATTTCAAGGATCCAACCCAAAAGCATTCCATAGATACACCCTCACTGCCCGTTCGGCATCCTCACTTGCGAACTGGTTGTATGACATGAATGAACAATGACATATCAAAAACTTTTGAGCCACTCTCTCAGTGACTACATAATGCAATTTTTGGGGGATGATTAGGATTTGAAAAGATATGGGCATAATTTGTATCAACTGAATCCGGTATGACCCAAGGTATCAAATTACAAAACCTTATAGTTATTATAGACGAATCCGGCGAAACTACCGGAAGTAAGCGGGGCGCCATTACTGAGCTGTTGCTGTAGTTGCAACTTGCGTCCACTGGAATAAACAGCCTGCGATTTACGACTGTCACTAACGTTACAACGTTACCCTTTGTATAATGTCGAGTGGGTAAACAGTTTCCGTTATAAATTGTTTCAATGGTGGCAGTAAAATTTCAATTTTGAAGAGAAAACACTGTGAACACCCCGGGTCGACTGCCCCTGTCTGGTGGCGTACGGTTTACACAGATTTCCTGGGCGAGTACAAGACGCGGACATTCGCGTATAATAACAATTATTTAATGACATAAGTAAAAAATACAATAAATATGTGATATAGTGATCAGCAAAATCTCCTCTCTTGCTATTTTTTCTATTCAATTAACATGCTATGGTCATCATGATATGGTCAATCAAGTGTTTACATGTCCACTTGATTGGATTAGAAATGGAATGAACCACCCCTTTCAATCCTATCGAAATTTCATTCGGATCGAGCTCAATCGGATCGATTAAGGTGTTTACACGAAGGCTTTTCAGTCCGACTGAGATGAGATGAGATGTGAGATGTGTCCGACACAAATAAAAGACCAATCTTACAGAGATAATATCATAATACACCTACCTCAACTCTTCGAGGTTACAGTTTGGGTTTGCAAGTAAACCAGAAAACAGCCCAACTCCCAAGTCCCAAAGTTTGTTATCACTCAGATCCAGTTTCTTAAGTTGGCATGGTTTTGAACTCAGAGCAGATGTGAGGAAAGCACAAGCCTCCTTTGTGATCCCACATCTTGTAAGTCTGCAAGTGACATTGAATATCTCTTGAAAGATGCAAAGATTAGTCAGGGGTCATCAACTCTTTCATCAACTTGTTCTTGTGGATTTTAGCAATTTGGGAAGCCAGATAGCTACAGGGGTTGGACAATGAAACTGAAACACTGGCCAATGTTGGAGGTTTCACATCTATATGCCTAGCGGCCAATCTTCAGAGTGAAGCACGGGTGGATCAGTGATGGTTTGAGCTCCAATATCATGACAATCCTGATTGTATTTGATGGACACGACACTGCCGAGGACTACCAAACCCTTCTGGAGGATCATGAGCACCTGATGCTCAAACCGTGTATCAGCATGATCATGCACCAACACACACAGCAAGACTTGTGACAGAAGGGTTTGATGAAGATGAAAGTGACGTTGAACATCTCCCATGGTCTGACAGTCACCAGATCTGAATATTATTGAGGTGTTTTGGAGGAGCGAGTCCACCAGCATCATATAGTGACCTGGACACTGTTCTGGAAGAGGAACGGCTCATAATCCCTCTGGTCACTGTGAAGGACTTCTATCTGTCAATTGGTGCTGTATTTGGATGCAAAATGAGGCCCTCG